AGCAGATTGTCCCAGTCCGCGATGGGCCGTTGTAGGTCGTCGTCCCGCATGTGCAGTAGTTGCAGACGCTCGAAGTCGCGTAGAGTGTCGTCGACTGCTGTGACTCTGTAGGACTGCCCAGTAGGATTGTCTGCCTTTGAGCATGCGGCCGGCCTCGTGCTCCTGAGCCGCGAGGTTCTTGATGCGGTATCGGAGCTCAGAATTCAGGACAGCAGTGAGTCAGGCTGCGAGTTTGCAGTCGAAGCTCGAGGTCGCCGCTGTCCTGGAGGTCGTCGCAGGTCGTTGTGGTTGTTCTGCTAAGCGAAAGAATGCGCAAGCCTTGACAAGTCGCCCAGATGCACTGCCAGAGCTGTTGCGAACCGTCTGCTGCCACTCCTGGAATTGAGCAGTGCGCGGCAGTTGTGGTATACGCACGGCGTCGGGCACCTCGATAGGAGTAGCGCTGGTAGCAGAGATGCTTGACAACGTCTGCGAAGGAACCGGTTGTGGTGGAGAAGGAGCACGCACGGGAGAAACATGACGTTTCTGGGCGGAAACCGCGGCTGAAACGGCACCCGGTGAGGTGCGTCGCGCGCGGTCCGTGCGGATGTCCCCATCGGCAGGCATGGGGGCGCGGCGATGGTCTGGAGGTTGGAGGTGGAGCTCAGCTACTGGCGCGCGATGTCAATGTAGCCTCGTTCGTCGTAGCGTTGCGTTGTACTTGCTGGACACTCTGCTGATGGCCGCGTATCGCTGGGAGTGCCTGTCCAGCCTGCGCTCGAGGTCTTTCAGTCGTTGGTTGCGTGCTTCGCGCTCTTGTTCCAAACGGGCGAGCAGTGGGTCTGCCGTTTTTTTTTTTTTTTTTTTTTTTTTTTTTTTTTTTTCCCCCAGGGATATCTGGGTGAGTCGTGGCTGCGCGTGGTCCGCCGCCCGCGGTGCCTCGGCCATGCGGGCGTCGAGGGAAGCGATATCGAAAACCGAAGTTGGGGTGCCCAGCTGATCAGTCTGGGTTCGTACAACATGCAACTCAGCCAGCGCAGCCCGTAGCTTTGGGATCTGCTCCACGACCTGGGAGACTCGGTTCTCATGCGTTGGCGCGCGCCCTGCGAAAAGTTTCAAGACGGCGAGTGAGGGCCGCCTCGGCACCGCGCAGCTTACCATCTAACTCAGACGTGAGGGTGGCGTGGGTGGAGTGTATCGCAGCGGCGTGCTGGTGAACCTGGGTGCGAAGCGTATCCAAGTCATCGCGTAGCTGAGAGTCCGTAGATCCATGCACCTCCATAGGTGGGGTCTGCCGTGCCATCAGGAGCTCATCGTATAGTGTCCTGACAGCAGCGATCCAAATATCCCTGACTGTCCCGAGTTGCGCCTCCATCCGTAGGAGGTAGTCGTGAAGCATCTGGATCGTCCTGGAGTCGGCACCTCGGTGTGACTCCATCTGGTCGACCGGGAATTGGACCTGAGAGATGATCGATCGATCGTCGGCGATCCTAGCATCGACGAATGCAAGAGCTCGCTGTAGCTCCTGTCCCACTGCGACCGTCTGAGCGGCCAGCCCCGGTAGCTGTTGGGTCGTGCATGTTTCAACCTCGCCTGGTCTCGAAGCTCCGCCAAATCACTGGCGGCGGGAGAGGATTGCGAAGCGAAGTTGCGCGGCTGAGAGCCGTGCCGGGGGCGTATTTGTGGAGGGCTGCGGCTGGCATCTCGGGTAGGAGACCGAATGTGATACCTCTCTGGGACCTGTCGCTGAGACGCCTGACCAGCGCGATTCTCGATGACGCGCATATGCTCTGAGACAGAGACGTTTGTAGGCGACGGGGCCTTGGCCCAGCGGCGGCTGCGACCGACGCTGGTGTCAGCAAAAGTGGGTGGGGAGACACTGGGCGCATTGAATCCAGGGTCGGCTCCGACGACAGACGTGGCAACTGCGGGTGTAGCCGCCGACGGGTCGAATGTATCGGGCTCCGCGGGAGGCGAATCCAGCCGGCGTCGCGAGGGTCGTGGCGCGCGAGAGGGGGGCGGCGGAAACATCGGATAATCAGGTAGAAACTCTCCGAAGGCCGCCGCAAGGGGCGCGGCGCTGTCTTCACCTGAGGGGGGAAATTTGCATCACGGTTTCTCGTGCCCTCTCCACGATGCTATTGCTAGCATGCGCCGTCGAGGAGAGCGCGCGCTAGAAGGCACCGCGACTAGGTTGTGGCGCCAAGCGGCGGAATCCAAGATGACGTGAAATGCAACAGCAAAGAGCGGTTAAGAAAAGGCTGATAACCTGTGAATACAGGGAGACGGCCGAGGGGCCGCTCCTGTATACGGTCCGTAGGTAAAGGATTGTTTTCCTGGGCGCTGCGCAGCGAGCGGTGCGCCAAGTCAGTTACTAACCAATACCTGAGCCAATGCAGTTGCGGAAGGGATGTAATAGGGAAGCGGGCGGACTTCACACACAAGTTCCAGACCCCCCTCCTCCTCCAAGCGACCACAGAACGCGCTCCTTCCTAGACATGACCACCAACGGCCAACTCCGCTACCAAATTCAAAGCCGGTTGGGAGGCCCAACCAGATGCTTCGCCAAAGGCAAAGCACACGTCCAACCCTGTTATCGTATTAGCGATAGTGCCAGAAGTAGGAGGGAACCGCGTGACCGGCGATGATACATCTCAAGAATAAAGGGTGGAACCTTTTCTGTCTTGATGTAGTGTGGCGGGTCGCGGTGCGGCCCGGTCAGATAGGTGGCTGGTCACTTGGACCAAAATGGCCGCGATACCTCTCGCCTTTGCCCGTCCTCCTTCAGAGCAAGCTACCGTGGCCGCCAAGATGGCCCACCATCGCGTTTCCCCCGTCTCTGCGGTCGAAGATCGGTTGATTTGCGATGTGCGGAAACTCAACGGGGCCACTGAGAGCCCCAAGAGGGCCACCAAGGGCCCGAAGATGACCTCAAGAGAGGCCCCAAGCTGGCCCAAGAGGGCCTCTAAAGGGCCCCGAGACGGTATCAGACAGCCCCAAGACGGCCTAACGACGACCCCAATGAACCTCCCAGACCAGACGGCCATGAGAGCCCCAAGACGGCCCAAGAGGACCACAAGACGGCCTGCCGAGACGAGAGCGTGGAGGTGGGGCAGGACAAACGTGGGCAGAAAAGAGCATTAGAACTGGTCGAGGCCGACGCTCAAGACGAGCAGGAACATACCGACATCAAGTGGAAGAGCGTATGAAGGGGCACGACGGCTTCCTGTGCGCGAGCAGTCGCCACCCAGAGAGCTGGGCTGGCGCGGTGGCGGGACTCACCTTATGCAGCTGGATACTTCGACAAGCTATGGCAAGTCACTAACTGAGCCCTGAAGGTCCTCGGATGAAGCATGGCATGGACGGTGAGGCGCGGTTATCGCACAGACAGGCCATGATGCAATTTTGTTCATTACCCGTCGTCAACATTATCGGTGGAAGATGTGGCGGAGGTGGATAAAAGGGGGCTTTACCCCAGATGACGCCGTCTTCTAAGAAGGCCGGCGATCGTCGTTTTCTGCCCAATTGCACCGCTGCTGTCCTACTGGAACTTGATATAGTTTAAAAACATACAGACATGCAACAACAATACAAGCCCCACTACATGTTTTCGCGTACTTGCCTTTGCTATATCAAAGAGAGGAGTGGTCGGACGGTCACTTTATCCCTGTGCGCATCCCGGGAACGTGCACACTGATCGGATACGCTAATCCGGCGCTCAAGCCGGGCGCGGGCACGCAACTCGGAAACTCCACTCGGGTCCTCCTCCTCCTCCTCCTCCTCTTCCTCCTCATTCTTCCAAAAGGGAGCGGAAGGAGTGGATGGGCAACGCCCTGCGCTACTATCCACACGTCAGGGGCCCAACGCACGAAAACACACGTCGTTTGTAACACATGTCTGCATGTGCCTTTGCTGATCAAGGGTCAGACGCCCCTGCCACTTGACACAAACGACGGGCAAGAGGATAATCTAAGACAGAACAGGCTGTGAAAAATCCTATGCTGTCACCCCGACTCGGGACGGACCGCGCGAGACATTGACACTATGACGCTTGAACATATTTCGCGGGCACGTTGAGCTGCCTAAGACTACAACCACCACCAAGCTAAGACGGGCGACTGGCCAACAATTGTGATCTTTATAATGTTCGCACTGCTGCACTCATGGGCAGCCCGGAAATTCGCTCTTGAAAAGCAGTGGCAGCTCGCCGCCGCAGGGTCCAGGGGCGTCTGGCCGCGCGCGTCGCGGAGCTGCAAGCCTGCTGCAGCAGCGGCGAGCTATCTCAGACTGTCGATCCGAAAGCCTGCATGAGCTGGCACGCGCTCAGCACTGCTGCCATCGTCCATGTCTGCAGCACGACTTGGATGATCGGATCGACTCCAGCCCGCAAGAGCGTAGTCACGGCGTCGGTAACGGCACACGTAGCGACGAGAGGGTCTTACCAGACGCGCGTGCCCGATGTTGCTTAAATCCTGCACGTCGGCGCGCGTCCCGAGGAGAAACATGCAAGCCCGAGAGCGGTTCCTCGGTGATCCCACCGCGAGTTTTGCAGGCAAGGATCTCCGAACACTGGCATTGGCGCAGGCATGCCATTCGGGCCGAGCCGGCAATAAAGGAAGCGATCAGGCAAGCCGCGAAGCTCCGAGGGCGCGGCCCCGAGCCGCAGAGCGCACTTCAATGCTTCATTCCAGGCGCCTGCCGTCCACGGGCAGGCCACAGGGCGCGCCGCGCGGCGGCCTCGAGGGCCTCTGAGCACATCGTCCAACCCATCTCTGTCCCCACTGGGCCTTGGCCCCGCTGGCCGACCTGCCCCCCGGATACGGGGATTCTTGTCCTCTTTTCTTCGGGCTTCGCGGGGTCCGCCCCCACCTGGGGGGGATATCGGGATCGGTGGTGCGATGCGGAGCCACCTCGACGGCGGGCGTGTCCAGCCCAACTCAGCAAGGCGTCGAGGTCGCCGTCCTGCCTTCGTACCTTCGTGCCGCGGCCGCGCTGGCCGATGCCGCAGAACCCAGCAGGCCTCACTCGGGCGCCGGAGCGGTGGCGACAGCGGCCTCGAGGGCCTCCCGGATGGCGGGGGTGTCCAACCGGAGCAGCGAGACCTCCTCGCCGTCCACGCACACCACCGGGAGCTGGTGCCCGTAGGCCTGCAGCAGGGCCTCCTGCTGGGGTCTCAGACAGGATCTCGGGACCACCACCCTCGCGAGGAGCCAGGTGGTGGTGTGGAGCCGGGCGGTGTTGTAGTCCCCTTCTGCGGTGCCTCGCTCGAGGCGTCCCAGTCCCCTTTCAACAACTCGGGGAGGTTCCCTCCTCGCTGGTGGTGCCCGCAGCCTGCCAATAATTGTGGTGGTGCCTCCAGAGAATCCGACGTCGCGAAAAGCAATACGCCATCGTGACATAAAAAATGGCCGGAGCCCCAAACCTTGGAGGCGGCCAGGAGGTCTAAGCTGGTTGGGCCCCGAGAAGATCAGTCAAGAGGGGGGAATGAAGTGAAATCCGCTCAAAATCGGTCCTCGAAACCCTCCCTGGGTCCACCTGGTACTGTTTTCACCCTGGATCCGTTTTTGCCGGTCCCGAAGCCCGAAAACTGCCCCCGGAGACTGACAAACACAAACGTTGTATTGTCGAACGGCACCTCGAACCTGCCCCCCCCTCCTGCTGGCAAGAACCAGTGCTGGGCCACCTCAAATCCCCAGCCAGCTCCAAGCCATGCCCGCCTTCCTGCGGCGCTTCTCGAGCTGGACCGATCCGGGACGAAACCCGTAGGCCTGGATGCGGCGGAGACGGCAGGTGCGGCTTACGGGGTACGGAAATTTAGTCACTCTGCTGCAGGCCGTCCGTCCATGGTCCGAGGGTGACTGGACGGTCTTGCTCGATTTCGGCCCTGCGAGGGGACGCCAGTAGGAACGACTGACAATTTGTTTTGGATCGACATCGGAACCTACATGTTTTGCCTCTTATCCCTGCCCCGAACCCTGGGAGCCCCAGAATCCCCTCGCGGTGAATTAGCTCCCGCCTAGGGGCTAAGGGCGCTCCTCCGCGCCACAGAGGCGTTCCGTGGCGATTCAGGCGCCCCTGCGGAGCGCCCCTGGAAATCCCTGTGCGCCTCAGACGCCCCTCACGGTGAATTAGCTCCCGCCCCAAGCCCGGGGCCCTCCTGGGCGCCGCAGCCGCAGGCGACCCCCCTTCCTTTTTCCCAGCAGAGTGGGACGAGTTTGCGACACCCAGGCCTCGGATCGGCGGCGCGCTGAGGGGGGAGATGAGAGGGGGCAGGCCTTCTCAGAGGGCGTCTGGGCTTCAGAGCTTCCCCGAAGGCCAGAGGTCCACCCCATCTGCCTTCCTCCCTTGGCGCGCCGCCGATGAGAAACCTGGCCTCCCTCCGATCCAGGAGAGCCCAGAATCGATGAGGCAGATCGGCGATCGAAATGGATCGGATCGGCGGAGGTCGGCAACCAAATCGGGAGAAATCGAGTCGTTGTAGTAACCAAGGGTCCTCAATCAACTATTGCTTTCATAATTGAACCAAACAATTTTTGACTCGGGCGCATTGACGGATTGGGGCCGAAAACAATACCCGGAACATAATTCCCCGGCCAATGTTGAGGTTCCTAGGAATTCCGAGGGTTCCTAGGGATTCTAAGGATGCGTAGGATTCCTGAGGGTACCTGCGGATTCCTCAGGATTCTGAATATTCCCTCAGGATTCCAAAGGATCAGTAGGATTCATCAGGATCGGCTTCTTAGAATTCCCTGGGGATCCTCTGAATTCCTCGGACTCCTAGGAATTTCTAGGAGATTCCTACAAGGTGGCGCCCCGCGACGCGAACCGCCGAACAAGCACGGCCGAGCCGGCACGACACGGAATCGCGAACCGGCCGAACCCGCTGAACCGGGCGAACCGGCGAGCCCGCGGACCGGCCAAACCAGGGGCCGACCGAGCCGGCTAAGCCAACGAACCAGCGACCCGCGCCGCGCCCAGCAGAGGGCGCCGCGCCGAACAGAGGGCGCCGCGCCGTGCCCCAAGGCGGGGCGCGATGCGCCCCAAGGGAGGCACAGCGCGCCCCGAAGCCCTTGCCCAGCAAGGCTGTCCTGCCATCCCACAGTCGTGAACTACCGCTTGCCCAGAGCACGACCAAACGGCCAAACGCCCTAACTGGACGCTCCGCGCGCCGATCGCCCGAATCGCTCCAGCGCAACAGCTCGATCACTACCCATGCGCTCGAGCGCGACAGCTCGAGCGCATCGCACCGCGACGTCGATCGCCCGATCGCTCGATGCCTCTCGAATCGCTAGGACCGAGAAGCATTGCAATGCAGCGCTGCTGCCCGTGATAGTAGGCACACCCTGCATGCTCGAGTTAGGGCGTTTTGCCGCGGCTCGCCCCAATGTCCACAACGGGGGCGCGGTGCGCCCCAAGGGCCCAAGGGAAGCGCGGCACTCCGGAGTTAACTCGCGGGGCCCAGGGCGGCGCCGCGATCCACCCCTCCCCTGTGGATGAACTTCGGAATTAACTCGCGGGGCCCAGGGCGGCGCCAGGATGCACCCCTCACCTGTGGATTAACTCCGGAATCCCACCAGCCCTCTGGGCGTAGGTGGTCTAGAACAGATCCTCTTCCACCCCTCCCTCTTCCCCCTTGGGGAGGGGTTTACCCCTCCCCCTACCCCCTCCCCTGGACCTGGACGGGGGGGGCCGCGGGTAGTTAGAGCGTCCAAGATGGCCCAAGACGGCTCCAAGAGCGCCTCAGAGAACCCAAGATGAGCTCCAAGATGGCTCAAGATAGCGCAAGATCGCTCACGATGGCTCCTAAGATGGTTCCAAGAAGCCCAAAGACGGCCCCAAGATAACTCCAAGTGGCCAAACAGCTCCCCAAGGAGGCCCCGAAGAGGCCAAAATCGTCCCAAAACCTAAGGAAAATCAATGATTTTTGCTTTCTCGCCTTTTCGCTTCCGATGGCTATCCGAGGCCTGGAGATGGCTCCAAGATGGCCCAAGAGGGCCCCAAGAGAGCCCCAAAAGAGCCCCAAGACGGCCCCAAGAGCGCCCAAGAGCACTCCAAGAGCGTTCCAAGAGGGGTCCAAGAGGCGATTTTAGGGGCTTCCGAGGGGGGGCGCTAATTAAACCCCCCCTCTTGTTTGATCGACTCCCTCCAAGATGGCCCCAAAAGCGCCCCGAAGGCTCCCCAGAGCGCCTCAAGAGGGTCCCAAGAGGCGCCCAAGATGCCCCAAGGCGCCCAAAAAGCCCTCCAAGAGGCCCTCAAAAGACCCCCAAGAAGCTCCTTCCCCTCCTCCTCCTCCTCCTCCGATTCTTCCTCCTTCTCCGTTCTCCTCCTCCTCCTCCTCCTCCTCCTCTTCCCCCTCCTCCTCCTCCTCCTCCTCGACGACGACGACGACGACGACTCCTCTTCCATCCTCCCCCTCTCGGGGTCTGTGACAGCTTCCCCCGCCCTTTGTTATTCTGCATGCTCCCCGACTTCCCTGATCACCTTAACTCCCCTGAGCATCGTTTCTGGATGGGCTGGTGGGGATACGCGAAGCGTCAACAATTATTAATTTGATCCAGAGGGGAATATGCTACCAACTTTACCGTGGATTAACCCGGGTAGATCGCCGCAACGGCTTCCCCGCGGATTAACTCCAGAATTAATTCTTTCATTTCCTCCCAGATTCAGCTGCTTCTGGCGAGAAGGGAGAGCGAGGGAGGCGAGGAGGGGAGGGACGAAGAGAGGGAGCACGAGAATTGGCAGCCGAGAGCTTTGACGGGGGGGGGAGTGCAGCATTAAAGACCCTCTGCGGTTAAGGCTTCCATTGAGATTCCGCAATTCACATCGGAATCCGAAATTAAATCGAATCGGAATCGGCATCGATCGAAATCGAACCGAATCGAACCGGGGGAATCGAAAAGAGCCCTCCGATCCCGCGTGGTCACATCGACCTCCTGCAAGCGCGTCCCCGGCACTCGATTGGCCAGGCGTCGGAGCCAGAAGCGCGCGGATCGGCAGAGACTGCAGCCGGGGCCGACGTACAGCGTCAGCAGCGGCATCCACTGCGAAGCTGGGAATGAGCGGGCCCCGGAAGAAGCGGGCCCCAGAGGTGCCCCACTGCTCTCGGGGCCCCTGGGGGCCTTCGGTGGGCCCTGGGGCCGTCGGAGAAAGGACCAACGGTGATCAGAGCACAAACGCTTGCATAAAGGTCCTCGCGGGTTTCACGGATCGGCGCCAGAGCCCCCTGGCGGCGCCTCCGGCGCCTCCCCTGGCGCGCTCGGCGCGCCAGGGAGGGGGCTCAACGCTGATCGAAGAAATCAGCACGGACCTCCGAACATGCACGAATACGCAATTTTTGTTCCCCGAAGCGAACTGTGAATCACTGGTCCTGGGGAGAAGCCCAGGGGTCTGGGAACCGCTGCCTTCAACAGAAAAACAACACAAACACACAGCACTCCGACCGTGCTGGGAGGCACGGAATGGAGTGTCTGCAGGTCCTCAGACTCCTCACATTCTCAATGTTGACTCTTTTGAATGCTGTTTCAGGGGCCGAGACGCCCAATTCACTGATTTCACAAGAAGGTTCCCGCGTGCCTCCTGGGGTTTGTCGCATGACTTTCCGAGAAGGACGAGAGAGTCTGAAATGAGTATGGTAGGTCATATTGCATCCAATTCCATGTCGAATGAATACGATATGGGGTGTGGATGAGTAAGATAGGATAAGATCGATGTAGTGATCTTTCCAGCACGTAGCGGATACCAAGTCAGGTATCCGGGCAAATAGGGCGCGCGTGCCTTGAACCATAAGACAGCGACGCGCAGGCTACACTCCCGATTATCTATAACATCTCCCAAAGAGCTACCCTTAAAGTCGGGAGGGGAGGAGACGGAGAGTAAAGCCGCGCGGTCGCTAAGCTCTCGACAGGCGCGCAACTCTGTTTGCAAGGAAAACAATACACGCAGTCTGGTGGCGATATTATTCGACGGCGAAAGACCTCGCACAACTTTTCCACGCACGCACAGGATAGCCCTTCGGATATACAGGGGCTCTCGGCCCGGCTAGAGGTAAGCCAAACAGGCTACTCCCCTCCGGGCAAAATGGTATTAAGGCAAAGAGCCTGAACCAACCTGAACAGGCTCGTTGCCAAGCGTGAAAAGTATGGCTCGTTTCCGAGCAGGAAAGAGGGCGCCCCCGCATTAGGCGCCCGTGCTGGCAAACTGGACCGCAGGGGCAACAAGGACAGACAAACATTGATTCGACTTGGGTTTGGTTTTGTCCTCGGGGCCCCGAAAGGGAACAAACTGCTTCACGTCGTGCTTAAATGACTGAGTGCCTGACATCACTTCCAAAAGCAGCTCCCGATCGATACTCCCCTTCGTATTCCCGTCTGCGGTCATGTCTCTAGTGTCACACCACTGTACGTTATGCACTATACCTATATCCATGAGCTCACGTATCCAGCTGATATGTCCCAGCAAAGTACGTCCCGTCGGTATCTTAAGGTCTTTGCTGGATAACGATTTGTATACAGACTCAGCGTCTATAGTAAGGGATACTTTGATCGCTAGGCCTCCAACTTCACGCATATCTCGTAGTTCTCGTGGGGTAAGTGCTCCGGCCTTGAGCATGTGGAGAGTGATGGGCGTGGGGTAGCATTCATCAAGATTTTGCGCAGCTGCAAGTGCCTCAGCGGCATAGCTGGACCTCACCTGCAGTCGGTGCGACTTGCATAGTCCGTCGCAAAAGTGAACGACGGATTTGCCTTGGGGCGAATTTCCTCGCCGTAATACGTTAGCCCCACGAATGCCGTAGCCCTTGGTTTGTTTCATCGTCCTCCTCCCCGGTGAGTTTCCGATGCCCCGAATCACTATGTATGTCTACTTCATTCGTCGGTTTCATCCGAGGGAAGGTGATGCGTTTCGGGCTGCGGATCAGCTTTCGCGTCACAGCATTCAGTCGTCTGACTTGCAAGTTGGTGGGCTCATGGATCTTCTGGAGGGATACCACATGCACCATGAGCCAGACTTGAGTAAGAAGGGCATTGGCGAGAGCTCCTCGCAGGCTAACGAACGTGTCGGTGATGAGTTTGGTAGCCTTGGCGTCTGCCGCTGCTCCCGTAAGCTCAGGATGTGTGGTAGGACGTAGTTGTTTAATATACTCGTCCTGGTCCATGATCACATCCCCTTGTTCACTCTTCGTGTAGCGAACGGCGCAATTGGTGTAATAGTGTTTGTTAAGCTTACATGTACCAAACACCTTTTCGACACTTTGTACAGAGTCGTCTACGCTTCTCTCTAGGCCTGTCATATTGATGTCGTCGACATGTTTTGCTGTTAACAGATCCTGGCTGAATTCAAATTCAGGATGGTAGCTTGTCGGTGTAAGGCTTATAGCTCGAGCAGTCGTACGAAGCTTGAGGGAGATCGCTCTCGGTGCGCCCTTTGTACCCGTTCCTGGCGCGCGGCACCTGAGGCGTTCATCATAAGAAGAGAAGCCTGGTAGGGTGCGAAGCACCTGGGCACGTCCTGGCGGAAGGGTGAAGCAAACCATGCGAGTCTCCTCGCCGGTGGCATGAGCAAGTTCCTCATATGTCAGTCCTTCGAGGAACGCTTTGTCGATGCCCATAGATGCTAAGATCCATTCTGGATGACATGCCGCCTCACTTGCCAGAAGCCTCTGGGACTGTCGGCGGGCAGTTCCCGAGAAGGGTTCTACATCGAAAGCCTCCGTGTCCATGAACCCGCGGAGGACAAGTCTAAGACGGATAGTTTTAACATTCTCGGTGCCTACTTTCACAAACTTCCACTTGTATACATATATGGATGTCATGTTGTTGGAAGCTTTTGATAGGCCATACATCTCAAAGCATCGGTTGTCAAGCCAGATCTTGAGTTCGGTGTACAAGGCTTCACTAACCTCCTTAGGATGTGCTGCTATGTCGGTTTTGGTGAGTAGGTCGTCTTCCTTGACTACCACAGCACGTTTAGCAACCGATGATACGTATACTCTCATCGTTGCGACCATGTTTGGTTCGAGCTGTGCGAGTCGGGTCTGATCCAGCACGATCTTTGACATTTCTGGCGTGAACCATAGCTCGAGATAGGGGCCATGTTCATCACTGTCAAGACAATAGCCTTCGTTAGGTGTAGTCGAGCATAAAGAGACAAGACAGGACTCTTGTTGTTCAGGCTCGTCCCCGAGCATCTCCGACACAACGGTATCTTCCTCGTCCACAGATGCTGAGACCAAAACACATTGGTCGGGCAGCATGGTTGTTGGGACGCAGTAGAGATAATCGTCGATAACCGTTGTGGGATGAAGGTCCATGCGCAACTCATCGTACCACTCCTCCATCATCATAGCCTCGATGTCGTGTTCCTCGCTTTCTTCGTAGATTGTAGACAGGCGACCTTCACTTGGTGATGAAACACCTGGGGTGTCTGGAGGAGGCCTGTCTCCAGGCTGGTCGGGTCCTCCAGATGGTGTGTCCAAGTGTTGATACTTGGCAAGGTCGTCATGGAATCCTAGGGGAGGAACTTGTGACGCCAGGCGCTGGATGAGTCTGGAGTGAGTGCTACCCGTGATTTGAAAGATGTTCAGGCCGGTGCCTACACACTCATAATAGTGGAAGGCTGGGTTAACATCGCTGTCGTAGTGGATCAGTGTAGACCCGGTGGCGTACTTCACTGCAGGTAGATTGAGCACGCTCTTGGCCAATCTCACGGCTACTGCGCGCTCAACTCGGAAATCGTTTCGCACGAGATACTGCGGTGCAAGGTGTACGCGCGGGTGAAACTTGCTGTCGTCGGAAAGATTGAGGTTTCCCTTGTAGCCTGGAATATAGCCAAAGACTTTGGCCGGCTTCCCTGCACCAAGGTGTGCCACATATGTAAGGACGGTTTGCATGGCCACGTTGTCCATGCCAAGTTCCCTGGTGAGAAAGGCATTCGATGTATAGCGTGTGGCGAGCATCAGGATACATGGGAAATTCCTTACGCGATCCTGCCTTGACGACTACGTGTCCTCGTTCAGGCACGTTACGAATCACAGGGAACGGGCCATTCCAGCCTCCATGGTCGTCCTTAGTGGCCGTAGGTCGGTGATAATCGACCAAGTCCCCAGCTGAGTATAGGCGAGCACCATCTGGGGCCGTTTTAGCCATAAGGGCACGGTTCGTCTTCGCTACCGCCGTGGCTGGAGTTACTGCTTCCAGGCTGGCTTCCCTCACGCGGCGTTCGCGTTCGTGGCCGGACGTCTCGGGCCCCTTGGGAAAGTCGAGGGTGTCGAGGTCAGGTGAAAAGAGGGCTGTCGCCCAGTGTGTGCTTGGTACGGCGATACTCCGTTGTAAAACGTGAAAGCGTTAGTGACGAAGATGCCTTCGGCCAGTACTCTAGTACATACTATGGGGATGTTGTGTATGTTCAGCTCTTCCTCAATCATGTGGAGAGTGCCCCTAAGAATAATGCCATTGCGTGACTCGATCGAGGTCGCGTGCTGGCCAGGCGCTCGGATACGAAGTGCCGTACCCTTATTCGCCATCATGGCCTTGGCAGTTTCATTATTGAGGGCACCTTCCCCATCTAAGTACAAGACTTTGGAGGGTCCATGATAAGCGATCCAGCAGTAGTGGTAGGCGTCGAGTATGGCGTCACGTTCTCTATCGGGAACTTCTTGGCCTGCTGCCAGGCGAAAACATCGGTCCATAATGTGGAATGTGGTCCGTTTCTTGTGAAACATGAGATCTACTTCGCCTTCGTCAAGCCAATTTCCAGGAAGGCTTGCGGAAGGTAGCGTAGAGATACCTGGGCGCTCCCATGCTCTACATTCCCGACAGGTGTCGCAGATTTCTTTGATCATGATTAGTCAAACACTATCCAGTCCCACTTTATCTAGGATCAGCCTCAGCTTGGGTTCCTTCGCATGATACCACCGTAAATGCAATTTGCGGAGTTCCTTGTTGACTGCGGGAGGTTCATGACAACGGAGGTTTTGCAGACTGTGTTGGATGTCAAATCTCGTCCAGTCGGGCAGTCGTGGAGCCCCCGAGCCAGTTGAGGCAAG